GCTCCCAAGTCAAAGCAGAGATTCTGCGAGCAACCCGAAAGAAATAGCTCAAGTGTCAAGGAGCCACAGTCAGAATCACCTAAGATTTAGCATCGAGGTCTGCACCCATTTGGAGATTATTGTACTATGTGGTGTGAGATGGCCAAATCCTCATTTCAACCAGACTGCTTTCCAGTTTTCCCAGTGTTTGTTTTTTTAAGGAGTCAGTACTTATCCTAGTAGTTGGTGTTCTTGGATTTATCAAACACTATGTTACAATATTTGTTTGCTCCTGGGTCTTATATAATTAATTTGTTCCATTAGTCAACTTTTCTATTTTGTAACCATTACCAAACAGTTTTGATGATTATCGCTTTGCAGTACACTTTAAGTAGGACACTATTCACACTTAAAAAAAAATCTTTAGGGGCAGCTAGGTGGTGCAGTGGATAGAGCACTGGCCCTGGATTCAGGAGGACCTGAGTTCAAATCCGGCCTCAGACACATAATACTTACTAGCTGTGTGACCCTGCGCAAGTCACTTAACCCCACTGCCTAGCCAAAAAAAAACCCCAACTTTAAATTAAGAATTTTTAGCAATACCTTGTTTTCATATCACCTATATTTCCTGATGTATCCCCTACTCTTGCCTCCCTTCTCCCTCAGCCATCCCTCATGGTAAAGAATGAAAAAGAGGAAACAGAACAGTTCAGGAAAATTAACCAACACATTGAAAAAGTCTGATGTTATATTCAGTGTTTTAAATTCATAGTTCCCCTCTTCTGCAAAGCGAAAGGAGGTGCTTTCTCTAATTCTCCTTTCAAGCCACGCTTGGTTCTATAATCTCAGAGCCTTCAGTTTTCACTGCTTTGTGCTTGTGTGTTTTGTATATGTTCAAAATTGTACACACACACAAATATAATATGTAAATATTATATATATAAAATATACATACATATACACATATATTTTCCTGGTTCTGATTACTTCACTTCACATCAGTTCATATAAGTCTCCCCATACTTTTCAGTATCTATTACAACACAGGCCTTTATGTTAATGAACCACAATGTGTTTATCAATTCCCCAATCAACAGGCATCTGCTTTGTTTCCAGCTGTTTGCTTCTACAAAAAGAGTTACTATAAATGTTTTGGTGTAAAAAAAAACTTTTGGTCAATAATCCTGTGAGATATATGCTTAGCTGTAGAATCAAAGGATATAGGCATTTTAGTCACTTTCTTGGCATAATTTTAAGCTGCTTTCCAGAATGGTCAGACAATTCCACTGACAATACATTAGTATGCCTGACTTTTCCCAGCCTCTCTAATACTAACTCTTCCTAACTTTTGTAACTTTGCAATTTACTTAGTGTGAAATGACACCTCAGAGTTGTTTTAATTTTTGTTCGCTTACTAATAATTATTTGACGAATTCATTCATATGGTTGTTAGTAGTCCAATTATCGTGAGAATTGTTTGCTTATATCCTTTGTCCATTTGGACAGGAATGGCTTTTGGTTTTATATATGTGTTAGGGATGTGTGTGTGTGTGTGTGTGTGTGTGTGTGTGTGTGTGTGTATGTGTGTGTGTGTGTGTGTGTGTGTGGAGAAAGAGAACAGCAGAAGGATAGGGCAGAAGCGGGGGGAAGGAAGAAGTAAGAGAGAAAGAGAGGGAAGAGGAGAGAGAGACAGAGATCTTAAATATGAGATCCATATTAGAGATATTTGGTACAAAGATTTTTCCTAATTGACAGTTTTCCCTTCTTATCCCAGTGGCTTTAATTTTGCTCATACAAAAGCTTTTCATTTCATATAATTACATCTGTGCTAATTGGCATAGTGGATAGAGGCAGGACTTAAAGTTGGGAAGACCTGAGTTCAAATACCACCTCACACATTTAGCTATGTGATCCTGGGCAAGTCAACCTCTCTGTGCCTCAGTTTTCTCATCTGTAAAATGAGTATAATAACAGCACCTACCTCCCAGAGTTGTTGTGAGGATTGAAAGAAACAAGATATGTAAAGCACTCTATAAATCTTAAAGCACTGTATAACTCCTATTATTATTTTAAGAATTTATCTCCTAGTCAAAGGTAGGAAAGATATCTGATTTGGTTCTTTAAATATTTTTATAGTAGGAAATTGAATATTCTGGTCATGGATCTATTTTGAACTGAGTATGAGGCATAAGATGGTGGTACAAACCAGGGATCCTTTTTTTTTGTCATGGGCCCATTTCACAGTCTGGTGAAGTCTATAGACCCTGCCTCAGAAAAATATTTTGTTTCCTACATTAATAATTGAAGAAAATTCTAAATTCCAATTAGGGAATATGAAAATGAAGATGTATTTTCCCCCAGAGACCCCCTTGTTTACACTGTTCCATTGATCTACTTTACAATTTTTTAACCAGCACTAAATAGTTTTCATAATTACTGCTTTATAATACAGTTTGAGGTCTGAAAATATGATTTTCCCCTTCATTTATTTTAAAGTTATTTACCTTGATATTTTAGATCTTTTATTCCTTAAGAATTTTATCATTTTGTCTAGTTCTTTAACATAGTTTTATAATTGGTATGACACTGAATCTGTAAATTAATTTAGGCATTATTGTCATTTTTATTTTACTGACAGCTCCCAACCATGAGCAATTAATCTCTCTGCAATTATTTAAATCTTGTCTTTATTTTTGTAAATAGTTCTTTGTAGCTGTATTTGTATAATTCTTATGTGTGTCTTGGTAGCTCTACTCCAGATATTTTATACATTTTAATGGTATTTCTCTTCCTTAGTGACAAGCTTTTATTTTTACTTTTCTGGAATATAATATTCTAGGATTTTCTTTCCTTTATAAAGGTTTCTGCTAAATCTTAGGTGATTCTGACTGTGGCTCCTTGACACTTGAGCTATTTCTTTCGGGTTGCTCACAGAATCTCTTCTTTGACTTGGGAGCTCTGGATTTTGGCCATGACACACTTTAGTTCCCCACCCCTGCTTTAGTGCTTTCAATCTGCAGTTTTCTTCAGGAAGTGATTGGTAGATTCTATTTGCACTTTGCCCGATGTAAGCAGTTTTCATTTGGGATTCATGAAATAGGGTATCCAGAATTTTTGTACGGTCATTGTTTCAATCCTTTGACTTTGTTTTTAACATTTTTTACTGTCTCCTGGAATTACAGAGTTTTGTTTGTTCCATTCTGTTTTTCAAGGAGTCCACTACTTGGGTAAGGAGCCTTCTATTCTAACCTATTCTCTTTCCAATTTTATTTTTCCTCTACAGCTCTTAAACTGTGATTTCATTTTTAAACTCTTCCTTCATTTCTTAAAGCCACTCTCAGAGTTCTTGTGATCAAACTATTTTTTTCTTTGAGGTATGACTTGTATTTGTTATGGAGCTGTTCTTTTCTAATGGATTTGACTGTGGGCATTTTCTTAATTCATACTATATATTCACTGTGTTTGATGCCCTTTTCTGTTATCAGTTTCTGTTTTGGGTCGTGGTGCTGGGGCCAGGCTCTGCCTCTTCCTACTACTCTTAAACTGGGGTGAAAAGTTCTATTTGGCCCTATCTCCTCTAATCTGAATGCCATTCCCACTGCTGTCCTGGAACACAACCTCTACCTCATTCTTTGTGTTCTGTCTCCGTTTCCTGATGGCCCAATACAGTTTTGTACTTGGTCCATCAGTCTTTTCCTTGCATAACTACCAACGATGAGTTGGTTCTACCACCTGCTATGGCTTTAACATGCCCCAACGAGATCCTACACATCATGCTGGTCTCAGAACTCCTGGAAAGTCCTTTGGCAAAAATGCCTTCTCATTGTGCTGGCCTTTTTTGCGGTGGCTCAACTGTTCCCATGTGTGCATCATCTGCCCTGCTTTCCGTGCACTGACCTACAGAGCTGGCAATTCCCTGAGATCCAGCACTTACTGCCTTTAGACCCCAGTGACGAGAATTCCCACTGGTTTTGACCTCTCTTAGGGCACCTCTGCTCAGGGCTCCTAAATGTTTCAGGCCCTCCTGGAACATCGTTGAGGTCCTACACACTTTAGGCTTCCCTAGAGTTTCTGTGCTCAGGCCTGTGACGGTTCTGGCTGGCTCACCTCTCCTGGAGAGAGTCTTCTCCCAGCCCACAAAGGCTTCTGGGTGTCTTTTTATGCAGTCCTGGACTGGATAGACAAGTTTATTTCTGTTTCTCTTTGGTTTTCTCGATCATTAATTGATCTGATGCCATTTTTAGGTGTCTACTGGAATGTATGTGGAGAAACTGGGCTCTTCTATGGCCTTTCATGTTACCATATACAATTGTATATTTGTGTCATATCACTACAACTTTCAGCTCCTTGAAGACAAAGACCATGTCCTCTCTACTATGTCTATGTGTTCCAGAGTTTATCCTGAAAAATGCTGGATATAGAGGAGGTGGCCAACAAGGACTTGGTAGCAGAATGGCCAAGATGTACTAATATTCAGTGAGGTTACCAGATGATGGGAAGAATAAATAATCTCCTGTCTTTTTTTTTCATGAGTGACTTGTTTCTGGACACTTACAAATTAGAGTTTGAGCACTGGAAAATTCCATTTTTTTCCTCATAGTTTGTGGGTCCAACCTTAAAAAAGTCCTGTTGATTTTATCATGGTCAGTCAGATCAGGTGGGGCAGGGGTCCATTGAGGCCTCTTTTGTTGGAATAAAATAGCTGGCACATTGAAAGTTGGTTTTCTAGGGACAGCAGTATTAATATCTTACAACATTAAATTCACAGTTAAAGCATGCAAGACTTGAAGAACAACCTGAACGACAAATGAAGATTTCCCAGGTCACCTTTCACTTTTACGTTGGACATTACAGTCTTGGGCAGCCCAGGATGTTGCTGAAAAAACCGAGTACTGAGGAGTATAACTGGGATATTATGCTCACATTCACATTCATCTTTACTTTTCTCACTTAAGCATTCCTCCTTCCCTGTGCCTTAATTAAAAAGAGCAGAAGGGGGCAGCATGGATAAGTGAACATACCTTTTTGACAGCCGTAGGACTACTTTCTGCGCTCTGTACTGGGCTCCTCTGGGGACTTGGTATTTCTCTCGGGACACACCTGGCCATATATACCTCATAGTGTAGGAGCACCTTCTGTCGCACACTGCCTGCTAGATCCTTCTGCTTAGGCTGAGACACAAATTCTTCCACGCTGCCTTTGCTGCTGCTGCGACTGTGGGTTAGGTTGCTAGACTGGCTATTGTGTCTGCTATGTGTAGGCAAGAACCCTGAAAAGCAAAAATTAAAAAATAAATAAATAAAAATTGAGGCAGTAACGATAAAGAGCTCATTAATATAGAAACTTCTGATGTACAGTTAAAATTATTTGTGAGGTTATGTAAGCCTTTTATACCATGTTACACCAGTTCAAACAGGAAATCTGCCTGAAAAAGACAACTTCAGTTTCTTGACCTCCATGTGATATTTGGCACTGTTGACCACCGTCCCCTTTTAGATGCTTTCTCCTCTGTGTTTTCACTCTCTTCTTTCTCCTATCTCTGTGGCATCTCTTCAGTTTACTTACTAGACCATCATTCATATCATGCCCATTGTGGGTATGGATACATAAAGCTCTGTCCTGAACTTCCTTCTCTTTTCTCTCCACACTTTTTGTGACGTGATCAATTTCCATGAACTTAATTTTAATTATGAACTCCATGGAGACGACTCAAAGATCTAGGTAGCCATGCTCATTCTATTCTATCCTGAGCACCAGTTCTACAACCCATCAGACCTTTTGAACTGGAAACTCCATAGGCACTTCACACTGAATGTGCTCATGCCCAAAACAGAACCCATGATCTTTCACCCACAAGTCACCCTTTTCTGAACTTCCCTATTTTTGTTGAGGATACCACCATTCTTTCAGTTACTCAGCAACCTTGGAGTCATCCTTTACGCTTCGCCCTCATTCATCCCACATATCCAATCAGTAGCTAAGGACTGGTCAGCTCCACTTCTGAAACATCTCTTACATGTGTCTCCTTCTCTCTACTCACAGCCACCACCCTAGTTTAGGCTCTCGTCACCTGTAGTCTGAACAACTGCAACAGCCTTCTAAGTGGACAGCCAGCCTCAAGTCTCTCCCCACTCCAATCCATCAAAAGTTAAAGTGATTTTCTTAAAGAATAGATCTCACCACGTCACTTTCCTCCTTAATAAAGTCTGATAGCTCCCTATTGCCTCTAGGATTAAATATGAAATCTGTTTACCACTAATGTTCCTTACAACCCAGTCCCCACTCACCTTTCTATCCTTATTATAAATTGCACTCCTTCTCACACTCTTGGGGCCAGCCAAGCTTACTATTCTTCACGCATGACACTACGTTACATATCTCCTCCATTACTGTGTACAAACAATTCAGGATGCCTAAATGCACTCCCTTCTCACCTGTCTCTTAGAATCCCTAATGTTCATTTGAAGCTTGGCTCACAGGCTGCCTTCTTCAAGAAGCCTTTCTTGATTCCTCCCCAACAGGATAACAGTGCTCCTCCACCTTCCCCCAGTACTTTATATTATATATATATACATATATATAAATTTTTTTTTTTTGCATTCAGAGTCCATATTTCTTTCTCTGGGTGTGGATATAGCACATACTTTTAAAAAACACATATAGTCTCCCCCAATACAGCATAAGCTCCTTGAGGGTAGGACTGTCTTTTTTTTTCTTGTTTGAATTTCCAGCTTAGCACAATGCCTGATAAATAATAGGCACTTAATAAATGTGTATTGTATTGTATTTCTGCCTTAGAATCCCAGCGTAGTGCCTGGCACATAGTAGGCCTTTAATAAATGCTAGCGGAGTAACTGAATTAATTGACATTGTCAACAGGAAACATCCTAGAATATGAACTGGTATATGGAAGCAGTTTTAAAACAACATACATAATAAAGAAGTGAGTTTTTATAAGTCATGGGACAAGGACAACAAAGAAGTAGTAGTACCAGAGGCAAATGTAAAGTGATAAAAGAGTCTAATAACTGCAAACACGCATTTCATGGTGAATTCAAGAAAGAAAGGAAATGATTTTGGAAAAGCTTTACCAGACCGAAGATCTATCATACTACTCAGCCTTCTTACTGGGAGCAATGTAAAACATCTGTTAATATTAAGATTCATTTAGAGTTTACAGAATTTTGCACTGAGTAATTTTTAAGAATAAAAAGCTATAATTATAATTTTTTGTTATCAACATCTCATTCATCTTGTTTTACTGTTGAATTTTAAAGAAATTTTAGGAAGAACACCACGTCAAAGAATATTTTAATACTAAATGAAAATGCACAAGTCAATGGAAAATAAGCATTTCATGTCAAGGTTAATAAAAATCCAAGAGTATATTACTCTTATGCAATGCGGGGCAAAATAAAATACGATTTCTGAAATCCAAAAGGATATTCTTGTGGCAGCCTGAATCACTGTTCAGCATTTGCACAACCGGAGATGGCCAACTACTAAACAACAAAGATTCCCTGACATCTAGTTTTCAATCTAATCATGCAGTGGAAAGGAAGGGGGCCAGGTGGTAAAAGCACTGGGATCAGAATTGGAAAACTGGATCAGAGTCATGGCTCTGGTACATTAAAAAAAATGCATTATTCAAAATATTTATTAATAAGTCAACAAGTGCCTACTATGTGCTGGGCAATGTGCTGTGTGCTAGGATACAAAGCAAGGCAAAAGACCGTTCATGTTCTCAAGAGGCTTACAATCTAATGATGGAGACAACAAACAACTATGTACAAACATGACATAGGCAGGCTAAATTTGGAGGAATGTGAAAGGGAAGGCATTAAGATTAAGAAGGATGGGGAAAGTTTCTAGCAACAGATGGATCTTCAGGGAGACTTGAAGGAAGCCAGGGAAGGCAGGAGGCTGAAATAAGGAAGGTGACAATCCCCCAGGTGTCAGCTGGGGGGCTGGGGGAAAAGACAGGACACAGTGAGTGAAAATGCCCTGAGCTGGGAGATAGGCTGTTGCTGGACCATAGAGGGGGATGGGGAACAAGGTGGGAGAAGACCACAGGGAGCAAGATCATTTGCAGGACAGTGTGGCTGTGGCTTAGTTGTGGAGGGGAGAGCCCAAGGTTGGGCCCAGAGATAGACTTCAGAAAATAACAGTAAGAAGGACCTGAGACTTGGGACATCATTCTCCATACCCAGGACTACAATTTGGTTACACTAATGGCTGTTAATAACAAACTCAAAGACTTTCAGGTTTGTTTGTTTTTTTGGGGGGTGATAAAACCTTCAGAACTTAAGGGAAAATTTAACATATAACATCCAGAAGAAATATATGGTAAACATTAAAGACCAATTATAAGAAATGCAATAAAGGTATATTGCTTACTTTGTATATGTGAAAATAATAGCAGTACTCTTATGATGTCATCATTATTTGGGTAGTTTGAAAGAAAGGCATGGGCTAAGCTGAGTATGATGGGGTGATTCTCAAAAATAAAACTGTGTAGGGAGAGATAAAAAGGAGTAATTATCTCATAGAAATGAGACATAAAAAGAAAAATTGATACAGAAGAAGCTAGTGGCGGGGGGAGAGGATAGGTAGTGTTGGAACCTTACTCTCATCGGGAATGGGTTAAAGAGGGAACATAGATAGATAGATAGATAGATAGAGAGATAGAAGGGTACAAAACTCTTCTAAATTCAGAAAGACAAGGGCAAGAGGACAGGGTGAAGAGAGAGGATAAGGGAGGTACTCTTAGAGGGATAGGTAGATTAAGGAATAGGCGGGCAAGGTAGCAGATAGAAGTAAAGCAGAGGAGTGAGGAGGGATAGGGTAAATAGGGTGAGAAGGATAGTGTGGAAAAATAGGAAGGGGGAAAATACAAGTAACTGTAGCTTAGAATGTGAATGGAATAAATTTACCCATAAAACAGAAAACGGATAACAGATTAAAATTTTGAATCCAACAATATGTTGCTTTTAGGAAATATAAAAATGAGAGATACACACAAAAATAAAATAAATGGTAGGAGTAGAATTTAGAATATAAAAAAAGAAGTAGGGGTAGTCATCATAATCTCAAAGTTAAAGTTAAAATAGATTTAATTAAAAGTGAAAAAAAGAGAAACTACATCATGTGGCAGCAATATTATTCAATATTGTTTTAGGGGTGGGGAACCTGTGACCTCGAGGCCTTGTTCTGGGAAATCTGGATTCAGCCAAAGGGCCGACTTGAGGACCTAGAGGGCCACACGTGGACTCAAGGCCACAGGTTCCCCATCCCTGTTTAGACTATAAAATACCTACACAGTATAAAATACCTGAGCGTATACCTGCCAAAACAGACACAGAAGCTATATGAACATAAACTACTTTTTATACAAATAAACTCAGATCTAAATAACTGAAGCAATATTTATTGTTCAGGGTAGGTAAGGCCAATATAATTTTCAAAATGACAATTTTACCTACCTAATCCATTTATTCAATGTTATCTCAATTATATTACTAAAAAAATTATTTTACTGAGTTAGAAAAAATAACAACAAAGTTCATTTGGAAGAACAAAAGGTCAGAAACTTCAAAGAAAACAGGGAGAAAAGATGTAAAGGAAAAAGATTCAGCAGTATCAGACTTTAAACTATACTATAAGGTGAGGGCACTGATGAAGTATAAAAAGGATAATTTTGATTACTTTAAATTTTCTTGTATAAATAAAACCTATGTAGCCAAAAATAGAAGGAATGCAGAAAACTGGGGAAAAAAATTTTCAAAGACAATCTCTCAGGGTGTGATTGGGTTGGAATATTGTCGTGGTGTAGGAAATGATCAACTGGTCGATTTAGAAAAATATGGAAAGACTTGGACTTATGAAGGAAGATGCTATCCACCTTCAGAGAAACAAATGATAGGAAGAAATAAGCATAGTATGGTCTTACACATATGTATATGTGTATAGATATCTATGTGTATGCATACATGTATGTATGTGTATGTGTGTGTGTGTGTGCGCGCACATGCTTAATTTTAGCCTTCTTTAGGTGGTGGGAGAGAAAAGAAAAAAATAAAGTAAAAAGTGCACAGCAGAGAACAAAAGAAAACCAACAAGGAAGCAAAGAAAAGCTGGGAAGCTTTGAAAATAACGTGTAGTATTTTATAAGATAAATTTTCTTGAACTAGAAGTTTATTGTTTCATATTGAATCTTCTCTTATGGTCTGCTGTGTACATGGAAATGTTATTTTTTTCTTTTCTAATTTT